CCACTGGGATGACTTGGACAGATATGGAAGAAGTGCTACGATGCCATTGCCACCAGATGCCACAGGATAACTGTAATGAGAAGCTTGCAGTCCTATTCCATGGTGAACAGGAAGGTGGCGAGCCAAATCAGGCGACAGGTCTGAATTGGCAAAGTTTAGATCTTTAGCAATCCTGGCTATGACTTCACGAACCACATGATGCATTGTGTAGCTCTTGATCTTGCCTGCATCACTGATTTCACCAGGATTAATAAGTCCCCAGGAGACGAGGGCATCAAAACAGCGATCAGCTTCATCTTCCGGGCGATTCTCTCTTGTAGCTATGAGGCCTTCAGCTATCCATCTTCTAGATACAGTTGTTCTCCTAATGCGGTTATTCTCTGGAGAGATAGCTAGGTACAACAAGCAGCTCCTGTACTTGGTTGGCAAGTCATTGTACGAGAATCTTACCATTTGCTTTGCAGCTCTCTTGTATGACCCACAATCTGATAATTTTTTCACAAAGTTGCCTAGCTGTGTCCTACTCCTGTTCGGATTGACATGCAGAAGATGTAGGAAGATTTCCATTGCGAAGACCTCAGGGTAACATGCTCCTAAGATACGCCCTACATTCTCCATAGTGTTGTTATCAGATCCACCAGTAAGCTCCCTTGCTTTATCGTAGAAAACAAAAAAACAACTTTGTGGTTTCAATATCTTGTACGGAGACGATGAATTTGCTACATCATCTGACCATGTCGTGATGACTATAGCGCTACCGGGAGAGCAATCATAGCTACTATGAGATAAAGCAGATCGTATGTTATCCCATGGTAGTCTCTCTGGCACATTGTCAAGAACAATCAAGATACGTTTACCTTTCAGATAGTCCAGAGGTTTCTTGGCGAGTTCCATGGCCTCATCACCCACTGTTGTTTCCGAACTTTGATCTGTATCGGTCCTCAGCGTGTTTTCTTCTACATCTGGAATTGGAAGGGATTCTACTTTTACAAGTATTTCCTGCAATATATGGTGTAGATCACAGCTCCTTCCGACGCGTATCCAGGCCTTGCAATCAAATGAGGCCACCAAGGAGGGATGTTGGTACACTTCTTGTGCAAGACGGACTGCTAAGTCTTCTTCTTCCTTTGGATTGTGTGAATTCCATAGGATAGGGATGATCCTCGGCTGTGGTTCACGATCTCCAACAGCAACAGGTGCTTCCTTCAACCACTCGATCATCTGATCGATGCTTTCTTTTACAAGAATATTCACATCATCTGGCGGTTCAACGTCTGTTGCAGATAGAGCGTGTCTATGAACATCTTCCTCTTCGCCTGCCACCAATGGATCCAAGAAGTTTGCATTGAATATTGCATCGTCTTGGTCAGCAGCAGATGGCACGATGACTCCATACCTCATCCGCCTGTCACCCACATCGCGCGCTCGGACTTTGAGCTGCCGATATGTCAGAGACAGCGAGTGGATATGAGCACACACTAGACAAGACTCAAGGTAAGATCGCTTGTGATGGAAAACCCCTACCCGAGCGGATCTCCTTCGGGGAATATAACTATGTAGCAGCTTTTGCCATTTCTTCTAGTACCAATCAATCATGCATGCGTTCATCTTCCCAAATGTCTTTAACAAAATAAATTGTTTTCTTTTGACGGCAAGCAGCACCATTATCGTATTTAATCCATCAAGAAGAGGAGATCTCTTAATTTACAACTTGGAATCTAACCGACTTGATCTGTGTGATAATTGGTTGCATAGTTTCGTCATAGCATATGAAATGAGATCGTTAGGTGGGCAATATGTAAGTAGGACAAGCCTCACACTTTTTTTTCCAGTAACAGACAACTATATTAATATGAGCCTGGTATCAAGTGCACCTTGGCGGACTCTGCAGTTGTTTTAAAAAAAATGAGGATGACCTCCGGCCTGTGCTTCAGGGTGACGCATGGAGCTATTTTATTAATTATTCACCAAGACCTTACAAAGTAATCTGTATCTTTATCTAATATTAAAAGACGGAAGTTACATGGTTCTCTATATGTCAATCATTTATATCCGTTGATTTTATTTTAATTATGAATATCGACGGCTGAGATTTCAAAATATTTGACCTGTTAGGGACACGATGATGGACCAGTCCATATGTCCACCCTTAACCTGCAGTCCTACACGAGCACGCACGTCACACACGTCCTCCTGCTGTTGGCCAGTTGACTCCAACACGAACTCCACGTCCAAAATACTCGCCCCTCGGCTCAAAAAACAAAACTCGGCCCTAACGAGTCCAAAAAACAAAACTTCAGGAAGGATACAGCGCCGGAGCGCCGCCACTGCCCGACCCGAGGGTCGGAGTTTCCCCTGGAGCAACACGACGGGCAATGAGAGCCGCGACGACGCCTTCAACAAGGGAACTGTTATCCCACTACACTGAGCGTCGAGGCATCACCGACCAGTCCATCACGGTTTTAGGTGCTCCTACACAACCTCATTGAACTTAGGATATCTTTCTCTTTAAAATATTATTAATGAGTATACATGCAAACAATTATATTGAATAATTATATTTTTTTCGTCGGTTCATCTTGGCAAACACTATATTGAATAACCATCTGAATTTTGTTATTTTCATCTTTTTTGTGTTTATGTATATCAGTTTATCAATTGACTGGCTAGGTACTAAAGTCGTCATGCATATTTTTGTATATTGCGTGGCATAACAAATATTCGAAATTATATAATTAAGTAAGAATGTGCTTTAGGCATATTAGTCCTTTAATTATAAGAGTTGTTGAAAATCTAGGGCCTCATTTTGCATTTTGCAGCGGGCCCCAAATGCCTGGAGACGGCCGGCCACCCTGCATAGTGGCCAGTAGAAAACTGATGTTCTACCTGATTGTGTGCCTTTTTTCATTTTTAATAACTTCAAAAAGAAAATATATATACTTAATCCATCGCACAGTTGTTTTTAACCAATCAAGATCATGTCCATAACTATTCATTTGTTCTTAAAACAGTCAATCTTTGACATAGGGCAGAGTTGTGTCAGCAAAATGAGGAGTTCTAACCGGTGAAAAGAACTAGTGTTGCACAAGGTTGGTCTTGGTAAGGTGAGCCAAGTTTATGGTTAATCTTTGAACCGGTGTTGCACAAGGTTGGTCTTGGTAAGGTGAACCATGGTTTTGTCCCGTGTCCCCCAAGCGAGTCACCACTGCATCGGTAAGCCAAGTTGTGCCATTGCTCCTGATACCTCCTATTCCCTCCCTCGCGATCTCCATGGTATGCATACGTGATAGCATCTATTTGTTGTAAGTAAGCCAGTGGTCTGAACATGTTGAACTCAAATGGGACAACACTACAATGGGTCTTGCTGGAAGTTGAGTGGTATATTTACGGGCCTATTCACTATCAGCTCGCATGTGAGAGGGTTGGTGGAGAATTCATTTTTCCATAATGTGAATGCATGCCCTACAATAGGTGTGCTGGTACTTTAGCTTTTTATCAACAATTTCCGGTCTACCAATACAACACGGTTGATATTACAAGTCGAATTGAAATACCTCTAAAAGACATAAAAAAAACCTTCTAATCATTCTTCCGTCGTTTCATTAAACCACTAGAGACGTTTCAGCAAAAATAAATCAATCCAGTCTAGGATGGGACAGATCCCTTTGGAGATGCTCTAAGTGAAAGATAGAGTAGATCTTGACTGTTGCCTCCATTGCTTTCTTTTGTCTTCTTTTACTTTACAAATTCATTGTGATCCAATCAATAAGCACTCTGCCTCCTTCCCTAAGAAAAGTCTAGGGTTCCTGTGCCTCCTGCTGGAGTCGTCGTCGGTCCGCCACGTCTCCTGTGGACTTAGGGCCATGGCGGCTCGATGGATCCCGACCCTTGCCGGCGGGAGGGCTCTGTTTTTTTTTGTTTCTTCGAGATTTGTTAGGGTTTGTGTCCTGCTCAGAAAGACGAGACGACGGCGGCCTTCTAAAGGTGGAATAAGGTTCTCCCCGCCTAGCCCCCGTCCCGGTGGTGTGTCTAGGTGGTTGCTTGGAGGTGTGTCTCCGGCACATCTGTCCTTGGTGGATTTGCTCGGATCTGGTCGTAGTTTTTCTACGGTCGTGTGTTTTCAGGTTGGATTCTTTTGATCTCGCTACTCTTCATCGGCGTCGGTTGATGTTCTGCTACGTTGGTCCTATGCGGCCTTAGCACGATGACTTCTCGACTGTCTACTACAACAAGTTTTGATCGGCTCCGGTGAAGAGGGCGATGACGGCAACGCACCTTCGTCTCACTTCAGTGCTTGTAGTCGTCGCTTGATGGTCTACGGATCTGGATGTAATTTTTATTATTTCTAGTATTCGTTGTACTATCATGATTGAAGATGAATAGATTGAAAGTTTTGTCGCAAACAAAAAATCATTTTGATCCAATTGAAGATTGTGGTTAGTAGCTGCCAGCCTTTTTGTGACTCCGATTCAAGACCCAGTGGCACCCAAACGAGTCGATCTCTACGATGATTGGATGCATCCTTGTTGTCATGGTAGTACCCAAAATGTGATGGTTAGATGACCAATGTGCTACTAGACTAGCCTAACAATATACTATACATCTGCAAGCAACATGGGCGCCTGTCATAGAGAAGGCCTGTAAGAGATGCATCTTTTTTTTTATTTTGTTACTGGAAACATCATGTATGTATAGGAGGAGGGTCACATCACGTTTTGGACTCACATGCATGCATGGACCCAAGTCGGCCAGTTGGAAGAAAAAATAAAACCTTATGTAGCTGGGATCTGGAGTTGGAATCCTCGTAGCATGTGATGGTTAGGTTAGGTGGGCAAATTACAATGTAATTAGGGGAGACTAGCAAAGGTAACCTTAGGGTAACAAAGTTACTACTACAGTAATCAATCCACGAGGTATAAATAGGCTGAGTTAGTAGCTGAACAGGGAAGTAGACACTGACACTAGCACGTACGTACTAGACAAGATTAAAAGAAAACACAATGGCGTGGAACAGCACCAAGACTAGTGAATCTCCTACATCCTCCTGCCCGAGCGGATCTCCTTCGCCGGGAGATAGCTTCGGAGCAGGGGCTGGCACCTTCGCCGAGTTCCTTGAGCAACGGCGGCAGTACGGCGGATCCGTTGATCTGCACGTACCCTCTGTGCTGCTGGCGCCCGCCGCATGCGGGCACTGCGGGAAGCTGGAGGATCTTAGGCGGGGTCGGAACACCGACAGCGACAGCGACCTAAGCGATCACAGGATGACGGTGCCGGACGCATCGCTCGCCGAGCAGATCACCTTCGAGGGGAGCTCCTGCTTCACGTGTGCCAAGGAGATCTTCCTGGCGACCGACTGGATCGACGGCGGCAAGGACCGCCACGACACACCACTGCACTACGCCGCCAGGTCCGGAAACCTCAGGATGCTTTTCCACTTAATTTGTCAGCTCGGCGACTTGTATGGCCATGAGTGGACGGTGCTAGTGGTGAGGAAGCTCAACGTTCATGGCGAGACGGCCTTGCACGAGGCGGTCAGGCTGGGAACAAGCTCAATGTGCATGGTCGGGATGCTCATGTGGGTGGATCCACACCTGGCGCTGCATCATGCAGCTCATCTTCCTGGCAGCACCTCACCGCTGTACCTGGCTGTCTCCCTGGGGCACAAGGACATGGCAGAGATGTTGCACAACAAAAGTGGCGGCAACCTCTCTTACTCCGGCCCCCGTGGACAAAACGCACTGCATGCCGCGGCTCACCGTCCAAACGGTGAGATCCATTCCTCCTAACATAGCATATTTGGTTCGCCTTATACCTATCTATTTTGAATTTAGTACAAAGTTGGGTCATCTATTTTGAAACAGAGGGAGTACCTATCTAGGGCACACAAACACAATACAATACTCCCTGTAATGGATCCAAGAAGTAACATTTTATTTATCTATTGCCAACTACTCTACTACTAGTGAGTAACACACATGCTTCAACTTGACTACTTTTTTTAGTGATAACTTCACTTACTCACTGGGGCACTGGGGCTATTACTCATTTACTTTACCACAAGCATACCTGCTTTGTCTCCCCTTTCGTTCGAATAAGAAAGCTGAATCTTGGGAGTTATCTTTACGGAATACGCTCAGAAGTCCCTATTCTTGCAAAACAAGCAGGCCGTTACTACTTGATGTTCAATTTGCATATTGACCCTCAAATACTAGTGTTTCAAGTTTAGGCATCAGACGGCATTGCTTTATCTTTACAATTATGTCGTACGCGATTATGGACAAAATAAGTAGGCCCTTGCAAGGTTGTCAGAATCGCGATTATGTCGGACGATTCGACGACTTTAAGATCCAAACTAATCCCTCTGATTCTACGGTTTTGGTTCATAGAATCTACATTTCGATGATCCTGATGGTTAAGATTTTACGACTTGCGATCCTACCAACGGAGTTCCAATCCGATTCGGAATCACAATTCTGACAATCTTGGCCCCTCGTTTCTTTGGTCTATAAATAAAATTTATCTAATTACCGGAGTTGTCTCTTATTCTTTTTTTAATTCATACCTATCGTCTCGAAAAAAATAATCTTGCAGCCACCTACTAGGACTTGGTACCTTAATGATGAACTCCAAATTTGTGTTGGGTTTTTTAGACTATTTTTCCTACAGTATTTATTTTATAACGTAAAAGGTCTAATTGCAGGTATGATAGAAATGCTACTAGCTTGGAACAAGGATCTTAGCGAACATAAGGACAAAAATGACAGCACCCCTCTTCACTATGTCGTTTCGGAGCAGTCTGAAGCTTCGACCAATATTAGTATCATGGATGAGTTGGAGAAACATGCAATATTGTGTGTACTTGATGCTAACCCATTTGCAGCATATCAGCATGATAAGAATGGTCTGTTACCTGTACATGTTGCTGCCTTGATGGATAGGAAAGTCGCCATCCTTATTCTCCTCGAAAGATGCGGTGGTTGCATCGCTCTTCCTGATAAGAAGGGTAGATCCTTTCTTCACATTGCTGTCAGGAACAAGGTCTACCGTATAGTAAAATATTCTTGTCAAGAAGAAGTTTTTGAGCCAATACTGAACGCACGGGACAATGATGGCAACACTGCATTACACCTAGCTGTGGAGGTTGAGGATTTACACATCTTCTGTTATCTCTTGCGGAATCCAAAAGTTTTATTAAATGTAAGAAACAACAAGGATCAAACTCCGCTGGATCTAGCAAGGAACAAGACTCTCACAGATTTTTCCTATGTACTGGTATTAATCCAGCTTAATTCCTCTCTCATCCATGCTTCATGCTAGTTGATCTTATAAATGAAAAGGTAAAACTATGTTTCTTCATTATTGTTTTTGCAGAATCCGGAGAACGCAATATACAAGACACTCAGGGATGTCGGAGCTAGGCATGGCAGCTTCTTTCAAGACCATGTTCAACATCTCTGCATTCAGAATCAGTTGTCAAACCTAAAAGACGAAGATAATAAATCAGAAGAAGTGGATGATTTGAAGAAGCATAAGAAGAAAGAGGGTGAAGAGAATCAATCAGAAGAAGTGGATGAGTTTGAGAAGCATACCCAAAAAAAGGATAAAAAGAAAAAAGAGGCGAAGCGTAAGAAAAAAGAGTATGAAAAGAAAAAAGATGCGGACCGTAAGAAAAAAGAGGATGAAGAGAAAAAAGACTCTGATCAGTTGACTGATTCGACCCGGACACTTGGCCTTGGCTCGGTACTCATCACAACGATGACATTCGGTGCAACATTCACCGTACCTGCGGCAGTCAAAGCAGGCAACAGTAGCAACGGTGGCACTGCAAGACTTTTCAGTACCTGGCATTTCAATGGGTTCCTGGCCGTCAACACGTTTGCTTTCCTCTTCTCCTTGATAGCTACAGTTGGCCTTATGTTCTCCGGCATGTCCATGGTTAAACTGCAAGTCCGCCGAAATTACTTCAGGTTATCCGTGCTCTCTGCCTGGATTTCGCTCACCTACTTGACTGTTGCATTTGGCCTTGGCGTACGTACTGTGCTGGCTCCAGTAGGTGGCATGGTTTCCAATTTGATACTCTTCCTGACTTCTCTTCCGCTGATCTACCTTAATTTAGATTTTATCAGCGAAATGGGCCTTACTTACCGACCGTTGTCTGTCAGACGGGGCCATAAATTTGTATGCCGGTTATTTATACCCCATATAGTTGGGAGGGGTCTAATTCAGTTTTGGCCCTACATATATATCTTTTTGTGGGCAGCGGCAACTAAATCTGTGCCTTGAAGAAACAGCATCAAACGGATATCAAGGGTGGTTATTTACTGTCTAAAGCTCAGTGCAGAATGGCAACTAGAAGATGGAGTTTTGAGGAGTAGCGGTAGCCTTCGGGTGTTGTAATAATGCATCTATCTTTGCCATTTCTTGTATCAGTCAACCAGTCATGCCTTCATGTTCACAAAATGTTTCTAGCATAATTTGAATGATACAAGTCATGCCCATCCACCAGCAACTCAACTACTTGTCATATAGAGAATATGAGATTACAATGTTAACAGAATATCTACTACATTGCCGGTATAAATATGATAGAAATGCTACTACAATGGGACAAAGATCTTAGCAAAGAGAAGGACAAAAAAGGAAGCACCCCTCTTCACTCTGTTATTTTGGCGCGGTCCGAAGATGTTGTTCATAGATTTTTTTTTCCTCAATCATGCAACCCATCTGCAGCATATCAGCATGATAAGAATGGTTTGTTACCTGTACATGTCGCTGCCTTGATGGATAGGAAGGTCCCCATCCGTATTCTCCTCGAAAGATATATGTGGTGGTTGCATATATCTTCGTGATAAGGAGAAGAGATCCTTTCTTCACATTGCTGTCCAGAACTAGGTCTACCGTATAGTAAAATATGCTTTTGAAGAGCCAGTTTTTGCATCAATACTGAATGCTTTCTCTCTCTAATTTAGGAGGATAACCCTAGCCCCGCGTCGCCCCTCCCGCGGGCGACACGGGCGGTGCCGCCACCTTCTGCCGCTAGCCCGCCCCCTTCTCCCCTTCCCCGCCGGCGGGGCAAAGCCCCCAGCGGTGGCTGGCGGCGGGGGCCTTCTCCCCTCCTCGCATTCATGGCCTGCGGGTGCCGCCACCTTCTTAGGAGTTATCTTTCCTCTCCTCCTCGTTAGCTACAATTTTCCTGCTCATGTTCTCCGGCATGTCCATGGTTAACCTGAGATTGCGCAAGCTCTACTTCGACGTATCAGTGCTCCTCATCTAGAATTCCATCACCTGCTTCATTGTTGCATTTTTTTTAGAAAAGGAGGATGACCCCCGGCCTCTACATCTGGGAGATGCATACGGCCACTTTATTAATTATTCTCGAGGACCTTATAAAGTATTACAACAATGTGCCTGAATCCACCATCTTGGCAACATATGCCGTTACTTCTATTCAATATGATGAAGGGGTGCTAGCTGGGCCACTATCCAAACTACTCACCTAAGCCTAACATCAAAAGCCGGAAGCCGAAACTCATTCGGAAGCCCCAGCGGAGCCACATACCGGGTCTGAGGCACAATCCGGTCAGACGCACTCGTGTGTCGTCGCCGCCATCTTCCACCAGTCTTCAGATCATATTGAGGCTTCTACCTTGTCTGGCCATTCTGCCATCGACGTCACCATAACGCCAGACAACAACCTCCTCCTGCGCGAGTCCAACACCGTGCATCGGGCGCCGAGTCTCCACTGCACCACGCCGCCGAGATCCGCCGTCATTAATGTGCAGGATGAAGCACCGCTCCACCAAAAAAACCGCCCACTGGTCCCTCGAACCCGTGTACGCCTCCAAGAATGACGCCCCCAAGGAGGAAACAACGCCAACGTGCCGCCGTCATCTGATTTACTGATCTAGGGTTTCCCCTGGAGGTAGCGGATAGAGGTTTGGAGCTTCTCCACGGCGAGGCCTTCAAGAAGGTAATGACACGAAAAAGTGCCGCCAACGCCGGTCTTGGCATCAAGCCAAGAACTAGGTTTTCACCTGGATCCGTTGAAGGAACCGCCATCTAGCATCGTGTGCACGGGTCGCCGCCGATCTGAGCCGCCACACATTGAGGTCGCACTGGCCAGATCAGATCTATCCGGAGGGCAACCCACACATGGCGCCGACCCAACCCAGGCCCTCCATGCCGCCAAGGGCCAGAGGCGCCGGGGCCTCCACCCCACGCGGCCCAGGACGGCCAGCACCGCCACATCCCGTCGACGGCGCGCACCCACCAGATCCGAGCAGAACGCCCCGATCCGCCGCCAAAACGGTCAGCCGCTGCTCCTCCACCGCGAGGAAAAGAGGAGGGGACCGCCGCTCCCTGGGGCCGCCGCCCCAGCATCCAGCGCCACCGCGCCATAGAAGAGGCCGGAGGGCTAGATCCATCCCGGCGCGCAGCTCCGCGTCGCACGGCGCACCGTCCAGGGCTGACCTCCATGCGTGACGGGAGAGGAAAGGCCCGCCGCCGCCGGCAACCGCATGGGCTTTGCCCGGTGGGGACGCTCGACGGCGGCGAGGGGTAGGGAGCAGAAGGAGGGTGGTGGCGGCGGCGGGGTTAGGTCACCCGAGCCGCCCCCTGGAGAGCTTCATTGTTGCATTTGGCCTTGGCATACGTACTATGATGGATCCGGGTAAGTAGTGCGATTTCTAGTACCATACCCCTGATGATTATTTTTGAGGTGGTCTACCTCAATTCAGGTTTTCTTAGTGAACTGGTTTTTACTTACAAACCACTGTTGGTCAGACGGGGGCATAGATATGTATGCCCGTCATTTACATGGCGCATCTTTTGGTGGGCTTCATTACAGTCTTTGCCCATCGCTATTGTCTTTTTTAGTGTAGCGTGACCTCTGCCTTCATGAAGCATACTCATCAAACAAAGATCAAGGGTGGTTATGTACTGTATAAAGCCCAGTGCAGAATTGCAACACCATTGTATTTGGGTAGCGTAACCTCTGTCATTTCTTCTGTCAACCAATCATGCTGTCATGTTCCTTTGACGAAAATAAACACCATTGTATTTCATTCATGAATAACAGGATATTCATTATTTACAAAGCTCAATGCAAGCACTCCACTGGCTCAACTTCTTTTTTTTCCCCTGAAAAGTGTAGGTTTTTATTGGTTCTGAATGAAGCATCAAGAGGATACAATCACAGTGAGCACACACCCGTCATCTGCATAGCCACGATGCACACAACCAACACTAACTCACGCACATGCACGCCGGCAAATAGCAAAGTCATGTAAGACCAAAGCTATTTGTAGGCGAGCAAAAAAGAAAAAAAAACTCAAAGCGATCAAATATGTGATTGGCAAACTACAACAAAGATCATATCCGCTCCAACCATCTCATCACACTGGAAAAGACCCTTAACTTGTCCAATTTGTGGTCTTGAGTTCAGATAGTACTTCCATCTTTTTGTGTAGTGCACCTACAATAGAGCGACGTCACTGATGTATCATTTTAGGTGCACTTCGTAACACGTCCTTACAAAATAAGTGATTTGTGTGGTACCCTAAAAGGTCTCACAACAGCAACTATGTGTTTCCTATTAATATAAAATAACATATTAACTTATATCGTACATATATAGGCACTGTTAAGTTAATAGCCAACAAGAAATAACATGCATACACATACCACTGTAGCAAAGTTAATAGCACCGTCTTACGTTTTAAATCAAATTTGATCATTACTTTGTGTAGATGTTCCACATGGAATCTTAAATCCTAAAAGCCTACTATAGCAAACTCTCCTAACATACTAGTATCGCAATCCCCTAACACATAAGTTAACTAGATCTTTTGGAACAAGACTATACAACACATGATTGATACAAACAAAAGGAGCTCACCACCGTGGCCATTGCAACAATTTTGGGACTAGGGTCGCACACTGGCGTGGTCACCCAACAATAGAAGACCACCACCACCACGGCTGCCGTGGGTGGGTGGGGTGGTGAGGGCCGGTGGCCTGTGGTGCCGGCGCCGGCGACATGACACACGGTGGGAGGGCACCGCCTGGTTAGGGATGGAGCGGAGCCGTCGAGACGGCCTGGCATCTACGGATCGGGATGGAACAAAGGGAGTAGACGGATCACTAGGGAGGGTCTTGCGAGATGACTCTCATCTTTCACGCGCTCAGGTGGCCTATCACAGATGACTTTCATCCTGTCATCTGTGACGGTTGGCGGTGGGCCGGTCAGTATGAGGGGTTAGTGCTATTCAGTTGGGCAGTAGTGAATATGCAGGCCACATGCTAGTTTTTGAAGTGCCCCCGGAAAAAATGACAGCGATTTTGCTAGACCTCTTAAGATAAAATCATCGTATGGTGATTATTACGGCGTTCGGTACAATTAGTATGACATCTCTGCTAGAGTTACTCTAAGGCACATAGTTCAACAAACTAAGCCAACACCATCCAACATGATATCTTCTATATCTAAATAGAGGCACCCCACTAAGTGATTTTCCTGCGTTTTCATGAAGCCACGTCACTCCAATTGTTATAGCCGTTGATTCAGTAAAGTTGAGAAGTCTGTAGCCGTTCGATCAAATGTTCAGAAAATTACGAAGGGCTGCCACCGCTAAGTGAACTTACCGTTTCGTTCTTTTCCAGCCATACATGCTCGCTGCTGGCCTCCGACTTGATTTTTTGGGCTGGGCGTACACTTCACCGATTTTTTTGGACACTAAAAAGCCTATTTACTCTCTCGCCAGCTCCTCTTCGAACTCTCCGCACCGCCCATTAATCTCCCAAATTTACTCCTCCTCTCTCCATTAATTTCCATCACCGATTCCTATTCATCTTCTCCATTGATTTCCATCATCAATTCCTATTCATCTTCTCCCAAATTAATAGTTGGAGTCGTTCTTCCATCTTCACCACAACGATTAGAAGTGCATCGGCCGCCGCCTGGTCTGGACAAAGACAGGTGCCGCCCCTAGCCATCCACCCCACGAGCGCCACCCACCACCGGCCATTCCCCACGCGCCTCCCCGTCTGGACCCCTCAGGTCGTCGCCAGCGACCAGTGCGCCGTCACCAACCACCTGACCGCCGGCGGCGCCCTCGACCAAGCCACTGCGCACTCCACCTGGCACAATCCCGCCGCGTGCCGCCGCTAGCAACCTTCCCGAGCCCCTTCCGCCAACATAGGTGCATGTCGCATGCCACCGCCGACAGCCTCACCGATGCCCAGCTGCGGATCCACCTCCTCCAACGCCGATATGTGCCACGTGT